GAAACACTTTGATTGTATTTGTAGGTTCACTTTCTGCTAGCAGGCTTTTGTTTTTAAATAAATCCCCAGTCAGTGCTCTCAGCTGTTCATAGATATTGAGGAGCAAGTGTGAGAGGCCTTCACTGCAACTACCGAAGCATTTTAACCACCCGCAGTCTCATAGAGGGAGAGAGGAGTTGAGAGAGGCAGACTTGTTCATTTGTTGTCCGTATGTGTTTCTGTTCCAAAGTATGTGTGTGGGGGGAGTCTTTGTGTGGGCGAAGATGGAGAGAGAAACAGCAAATGAGAGTCTGGTCTTCCCTGCAGACTGCTAGTCATGTCTCTAAAGTGGAAATAAGAGAGAGTGTGTGTGTGTGTGTGTGTGTGTGTGTGTGTGTGTGTGTGTGAGAGTGAGAGAGAGGGAGGGAGCACTTGTTTAGGGGACATCACAGTGACACTGGTCTGTTTTATAACAGCAATAATCAGGAACACAGTTCCTCTGTGTCTTTATTGCTTTGTTACCTCGGCCCTGCTCCTCCAGCATCATCTCATTATGTCCCAGAGGCCCAAATAAAAACACAAGACGTCTTTTTACATCTTTCAGCATTTAGACATCTAGAGAATTGTCGGTTTCCTTCGAAGCTGATTAGCATCGAGCGGCACTCATGCTTCCAGCCATCCTATTTCCCCCTTCATCATTGATTTAAGATCTGGCATACTGACAAAGCTCCTTGTTTCCTCCTTTGTATGTCACTGGATGAAAGTTTGAATGATTACTCAAACTATAACTATTCAGTTCAAGTTGCCATGACCTTAGGTTGAAGTGACTATACTAGCCCCTAATTAGGGATTTATAAAATATAAGGACAAAGGCTATCAATCATGTTTTTAATAAATCAATGTCTCCTGATCCACTTTTTTTAAAGATTTTGGTTGAAATCGTCTTTAGGTCCTGACAGAAATTAATAACTCATGTGCTCTGAAAAAGGAACTAAGAAAATCTGTCATCTGTATCAGTTTGTAAGCCTGTAAAAACTTGTAAGTCTGTAAAAACACTAACAACCAATGTCTGCCACGAGGTACCGATCTGATGAACCAATCAGACGCCTCCCTGTCGTTGGCCGTTGTGAGTAGTAAAATAATTGTGTGTTTTAAAGATGTATTATGATAAAGTTTAGTGTTTACTTACCGCTGAATGAGACATGAGACGATGTGTAAGTGAGGGGGCGTGGCTTTAGAGGGAGCACAGAGGGTAGGGGGTGGGTGTAGATGGAGCACTGAGGGAATACTACTTTCAAAATCATGCTAGTTTTTGAAAATAACCAACCCTGCCTTTAAGTTCAGCATTTAATCAACTTTATTAAACTCGACCCTAATCCACATTTTAAAACTCAAACATGGTGTCACAATGCTGCATGTGCAAACTAAACATAGGCAAAGTTTCAGGTAATAAGGTAAAGTGTATTGGAGTAATCCCAGGATGTAAAACGTTCACCTTACGGCTTCAAGACTCTATGTAAGCCGTTACTGGAGAGCAGTAATAACCTGGCAGCCCTGCAGTGTTCTTCCCAACAGAGGGCTTCCAGAAAAAAAAGGATATGGTGTGCTTCACCTTAATTCAAGATTCAAGATTAAAAAAAACTTTAATGTCCATCATATAGTGACAGAATAGTCACCTTTGGTTAGAGGCTCAAATAACATCAAAACATTCAAACCCTTTAGACTCACATGAAATAAAAAAAATCAAACCAAAGGTTCCATTAACATCTGCAGAGTACGTTTAAAAGTCGTGTTTATCTGGCCTTGTTTAAGATGCATAGTGCAGTGGGAATAAAAGAGTTTCTGTACGTTTACTCTGAAACGTCTGCCTGAGTGGAGCAGCTGAACTGAGTGGTGAAGGAGATGTGAAGGGTCCTCAGTGATGCAGACGGCTTTCCTTTGTGCTGCACGCATGTTAAGTTCTGACACTTGGATTTGGGTGGTGCCGGTGATTTTAGCTGCATGTTTGATGATTTCTTGCATTTTTCAGTGAGAAGGGTGTACCAGGATTCAATGTAAAATGTGAGGACTGATTCAATGAGTGACCAGTTTATTGTTGTTTAAATGTCCTATATGACATTAAAACTTTTCAGGTTCCTGAGGAGAAACCTGCGCTGTTGGGCTCAGTTGTAGATTAACAACTCTAGTTAAGGCAGAATTTGCAACATTTTACACATAAATATATCTAAGAAATCCAGTCTATCCTGTGTAAATGTGTCTCTGAGTCATGACTGTCTACAAAGAGTGAGAAGCTCGAGTCCCACTGGCTGTGTTGTTGTCAGAACTGTGTTTACATGGACGGGACGGTCGGCTCCTCCCCTTGTGTATAAAAGCTGATTTAGTCAAGGACTAGAGAGAAGAAGAAGAACATACTCACTGATTATTTGAATGTCAACTAAGTGTTTTTAGATCATGATCATTCTTTGTAAATTTACAGGCAATGTGAAGCTACAAGCTAACTAAAGAGCGCTAACATTAGCATGCTAACACAACAATGCAGCTCGAGACAAAGGCAATTTTGCGCTTAGTGCTTAATTATGGTGCGTTCCAATTTAACAACTCGCTGTGTCGCTGGAGGAGAGCGGAGGATTCAGTGTGGCGGATGGCGACATCTACTGGATCAAAAAGCCACACATTCTTCCTTTAAAAAACATTATCTTAATATTATGTTCAAGTCATGAAATCTCACATGAGAAAGAAAGAAGACTTGACCTGCGCTGTGACCTGTCTGTCTGATTTCAGTTATGTTTAACATTAACATGGATCTAAATGCACTCTTGTCATTGAAGAGGATTTATTATTTATTTATATGTAAGTGAAGGACATCATGCTTTTAATCCTGTCAGGTATTAAAGACACCAGAGCAGGTCAACGACTTGAATTGTGCTGTGACAACAATGAGGGGACACTGGGCAGGTAGTGATTCTCAAACAACTGTCATTGTGATGAGTCATGTTTGATCAAATCCTTTGTTGTTGGAATGGTTCCCACCTACTCAATCCATCAATCTTTTTTTTTCCACATCTCAAAGAACTCTAAAAGGTGAGCTGATGTATTGTTAGCAAAAACAACACGGTCGTGAATTTCCTCTTTCTCTTCACCCTCTTTACCAGCTGACACTGAATAATCGACTCGCAGTGAAGCTTAATAAAACTAAAAGCAGGAAGAGCCATCTAGTGGAATCAGGATTAATCCTTTATCGTTAATTAACGTCCTCTCAGTGTGTCACACAGGGAGACATTTATAATCCTGTCAGGGTTAGCTTATCCCTCTCACATCACCGTCCAGTCTCCAGATTTAAAAAGCATATTGTAGTTTGATGATTGCGGGGAAACGTACTGACGAGCCAAACACAGTCTTCTTCTGTGCTCTGAGATGTTTATCTGAAGGGAGAGCACGTTAAATTGATTATAGTTCTCAGAAATCTACAACAGATTCCCTCTCTTCAGTTTACCCCTCCATCACAATGCAGCAGTGTGTGTGGGTGTTCCTGTGTGGGAGTTTTGCACTATAGAGCCTCTGTGAACATTGTGTATTCATGTCTATATTTTAAGTGTTGCATGAGTTACATGAGTACCTACAGTACATGAATGGGCTCGCTGCAGCCCGTTTGTCCAATGCTTACTGATGCATGGTTCAGAGGGGCGTGTACACCTCTGTCCTCGATATGAAGGGAAGCCGATGTCAGGTAGATCAATTCAACCTGTTTGAATTCACATTTTTATTATACTTTTTGCTGTAAAAATGTACAAAAACTTTGTAGGCCTACATGTTTCACATGTCCAATACAAATCAATCAATCAATCATTATTTGTATAGAATCAATCCATAACAAGAGTTGTCTAGATACGCTTTACAAAAGAGCATGTGTGATCATATGCTGGAAGGATTTCTCCTTTGTATTCCTCGTGTTCCTGTTGTCCACACTTCCTTGCTGCTGAGGTGGAGGTCAGAGCAGGTCATGTATGAATGAGGACGGCAGTGGTAGTGGGGACGAAACAGTCTGATGGTGGTGGCTGCGCATTTTCCATTATTAAGTGGTTGAACTGAGGTCTGTTGACGTTGTCCCTAAGAACTGATATGTGTTACCTTTTACCTTTGAGTGTTCACATTTGAACTGATTTGACTTGGTTCAGCAACACACCAATATATTCTTCATTCTCTGTGACAGATATGTGACTGGGTCATAAATATTTTAAACCCTCGTCCCCTCTGGTCACAGCTGGGGTTAAAGGTCACCATTGCTTTATATATCTTTATATATTTCATTATGAAACATTCTCATTTTTTTAAATTCACACATAAGTATTTTTTGAAGACACTAACTGAAATTGAATGTGGGACGTTGTATAGATGCCCTATGTGCCTCAACAATCAGAGTACCATGCTTACATTATATCAGTTTGAATCTCCATGTTAACGGTGTGGATAAGATCCACATGTGATAAAATTGAATGTGAAAAAAAGATTTCAGTTAAGCGTGGATTTACAACCATAGATTGTCTTTTTTTCTTTCTTTTTATTGGTCACTCAAAAATGTATGTTTTGGAGGCCGCTGGTGGCCGAGTGGTTAGTGTATGCACCGCATTTAAAGATGCTGTAGTCCTGAAGCAGGTGGACCAAGTTTAAATCTGACTTGTGGCTACTTTCCTGCACTCTCTCTCTCTGTCTCTCTCGCTCTGATTTCAAACTCTAGCTGACCTGTCTCTCCAGTAAAGGCACAAAAAGCGTTAAATAAATCTGTTTTCCAATTTATATTTGATGAAAAAAGAAAATTCAGTGCGAGGTATTCTTGAGAATTCTTTTCACGATGTTCCTCCGGTGGATTCCAACACGTCTGACAGCTTGTAGTCTTTGTGAAACATTCACCATTTCACTAGCAATGCAAATAAAACAACTATCAGACAATGTGAGTTTCTCTTGTCACGGTGCTAACACATCAAAAACAATTCTTACTGAGTCTCTCTCTCTTTTCTTTCCAGGCCATGGAACTAAAGGAGTGTTTGAGCTGCTGGCGGGCTGGAGGAGAACGAGGGAAAACCTCCCCTTCAAGGAGCGCGTGGCGGATGCCTTTGCTGACGTGATGGTATGCTACACCATGACCAGCTCGCTTTACATCATCACCTTCGGAATGGGAGCCAGCCCGTTCACCAACATAGAGTCTGTGAAGATCTTCTGCCAGAGCATGTGCGTCGCCATTCTGGTCAACTACTTCTATGTCTTCTCTTTCTACGGCTCCTGCCTCGTGTTCGCCGGACAGCTGGAGCAGAACCGCTACCACAGCGTTTTTTGTTGTAAAATCCCCTCGGTGGAGTACCTGGACCGCCAGCCCACATGGTTCAAAACCATGATGAGCGACGGCCACGACTTGTCCACACACCACGACAGCATCCCCTATCAGAACCACTTCATCCAGCACTTTCTACGCGAGCACTACACAGAATGGATTACCAACACCTACGTGAAACCGTTTGTGGTCATCCTGTACCTCATTTACGCCTCGTTCTCATTCATGGGATGTTTACAAATCAGCGACGGATCCAATGTGGTCAACCTGCTGGCTAGTAACTCTCCAAGTGTGACGTATGCTATGACCCAGCAGAAGTACTTCAGTAACTACAGTCCTGTGATCGGGTTCTACATTTATGAGCCCATCGAGTACTGGAACTCCACAGTTCAGGAGCATCTGAAGACTCTTAGTCACGGCTTCAACAAAATCTCCTGGATGGACAATTTCTTCCACTACCTGAGGGTGGTGAATGTGAGCGCGTCGACAAAAAACGACTTCATCTCCATACTCAAAGGCTCCTTCCTGCGCAGCCCCGAGTACCAGCACTTCACAGAGGACATCATATTCTCCAAGAACCGCGAGACCGACGAGTACGACATTATCGCCTCAAGGTTGTACTTGGTGGCGCGGACGACAGAAAAGAAGCGGGAGGAGGTGGTGGAGCTTCTGGAGAAGCTTCGCCCGTTGATGCTCATCAACAGCATCAAGTTCATCGCCTTCAATCCTACATTTGTATTCATGGATCGCTACAGCTCGTCCGTCATATCGCCCATCCTAACCTCAGGCTTCAGCGTGCTCACAATCCTCATCCTCACTTTTTTTCTCGTCATCAACCCCTTGGGGAACTTCTGGCTCATTCTCACGGTTACCTCTGTAGAGCTGGGCGTCTTGGGCCTGATGACCCTGTGGAACGTTGGCATGGACAGCATCTCGATCCTGTGCCTTATTTATACCCTCAACTTTGCCATGGATCACTGTGCGCCACATCTGTACACTTTTGTGCTGGCCACCGAGCACACCAGGACACAGTGCATCAAGCTGGCGCTGGAGGAGCACGGGGCGGCCATCCTGCAGAACGCATCCTGCTTCGTGATAGGGATCATGCCCCTGGTATTTGTGCCTTCCAATCTGACCTACACACTGTTCAAGTGCTCCCTCCTCACCGCGGGCTGCACCGTGCTGCACTGCTTTGTCATCCTGCCCGTTTTCCTGACCTTCTTCCCGCCGTCCAAAAAGAGGCACAAGAAAAAAAAACGGGCCAAGCGTAAAGAGCGGGAAAGGGAGAGGGAACGGGAAAGAGAGAGAGAGCGAGAACGAGAGGAGATAGAGTGCATTGAAGTCAGGGAGAATCCTGATCATGTAACAAACGTCTGAGTAGTTTGTTATGTAGTCAATGAGCAGTGGATCTGGTATCTGTCAGATAATGGTTGAATACAGGTGTCTCCCCAATGGTGAGATGCCTATTGAGCTGCAGGGGAGTGCAAGATGTTCCTAGAGGAACGGGCTCTGGTCACTCCCAACCAATAGCAGCTGAGCTTGCCAGAGTAGAGTGCAGCCCGAGCAGTCATTCAGTTTAGACGGTGTGTCTTAATTGCACAAACTGCAACATGTTTCACGGTTCTAAATTGTTCCCTTGCTGTTTGGTTTCTGAAATAAATACTTACTAGAACTTGTGAATGCTAAGTTCTGAACATACAATATGTAAAACCATTTACCAATTAGCAATTCTTTGTTCACTTTCTGCAGTCCTGATCTCAAACGTGTAGTGAGTGAGGGGCAGAGCAGTCTGTAAAGCCAAGGACACTTAGACAAAGTTTGTGAAGGTACAACACAAAAAGGGTTACAAAACTAAACATGTGCAGGAGACAACTGTGTTCTCCACGTACTTCACACACCTCGATAATAGCAGAAGAAAACAAAACCAAAAGAGAGCGCAAGCAGCCTTGGAAAGAAAGCACACCACATGCTTTTCTGTTACATTATAAATAGAATAACAGCTGAACTGGGCAGATGGCATTCATCACTGTGTTCATTGTGAAGAATGATCTTGCACACTGCATCTTGTGAGCAGGACTGTCAAGGTTTATATTAGCGGGAGGCTAACACTTACTACTGCATTATTCCAAGAGTCCTAAGTGTGAGGCAATGGCATGAGAAGCTGCGGTGGCGTGCAGGTTATGAAGAGGAAATGATTAAGGAGTGTTGTAAAGAAGTATTTAAAAATGGCTGTTGCCTGAGTATATCCTAAGTCAATCCCAAACTGTGTTTGCACGGGAACAGTCAAACCAAAAGAGAGAAGAGTCCCCAGTGTTGAAGCGCAAGGTTGTTAACAATGGAAGGGTTTCTGTCAGAGTATGAATGTCTCTGTGATCCTCTAATGAAAGCTATGGCACTGATTACTGGAAGGTCTGAATGTTATTCAAAAACCTGCAGGGGTGCCAAATAGTGTATAGATGTTTTTGAATATTTTTTATAAAAAAAAAAAAGAAGTCTCAGTAAATTTTAATTTTTAATAGAAATCAAACATAAATCATGATTTATCTGAGCTGATTTATTGATTGCTTATTAATATTGTTCAGGTTTGTTAAGCAGATCATGAAGCAGGCTTGAAATAAAAGCAGGGAAGAAAATGTGCACGTTTTTTTTTACTCGTGTAAAAATACTGGCACGGAGCTGAGGTCTACGAGAACTTCCAGGTTTTGTTCCTGAAGTAGAAAAATAAATGTTTTCCTTGCTATATCATCAGACATTAATGAAACATGCTATGTTGAAGTGCTGGCTTCTCTGACAACAATGCAGCAGCCAGTATGTCCTCCTTCTAACTTTAGATTCTGCTCCTGAATGCTCTGGATTTGTTTGGACCAGAGAAGGTAGGCGCTTTTAAGACACCCCCACATGGCCGTTTTGGACGCCCCTCGGTTTGTCAGATATGAGAGAAGTTATCAGGTCAACAGGTGTTGCAGTGATGGAAGCGGCAAGAGAAGTGGTTCAGATAGAAGTGATTGTACCCGACCTAAAAAGCCTCTGCATGTTTCTAATAAGCTCCACGAGCAGAAACGTGCTCAAACTAGGATCAATATTGGAGATGATTTTGAAAAATGGAGGGAGGTTAGAACACAGAAAGGTTTACAGACCCATGCAGAGCTGGATAAACACTGAAGCTACAGTGTCCACCACATGGTGACCTGTGTAAGCATGGACTCTAGAGAGGAGGGGGGGGGGGGGACACCTCTCTCTAATGTTTTGAATTTAGACTGCAGTACCCATTTTGACCCAAGAGAATAACACGTCGATACGTTGAGAATAAAAAATACAGCTGTCAAAATGAAGAACATAGTCAATTTAAAATTTGAACCAACTAGAATCAGGGTTATATAAATCTACCTAAAATGCAATCCTCCATACAAACTGCAATTCATTTTTTACAAAGCCTTTAATTAATTAGATTATTTTTTTAGTGACTGACAGCATTACAAGAAATACACAAAGAAATGATTCTATTTATATTAGGTTAGGTTATATATAAAGGTAACTGTGTTTTATTTTCTAACACACACAGTGGCGAGCCCCTCTCTGCTCCTTCATAAAGAAGCCCAAAAAAGGGCATCTCTCGCTTTAAAATGTTTCACTCATGATTCTGTCGCTTCCTGGACGCAATCATGCATAGATAAATTGCTGCATTGAGATCCATAATCTTAAGATTGGCATGACAACTCCGCCATAGTTCTGCTTTAACTTGACCTACTTTTGAGTCTCGTCCTGGCAGCGTCGCTGTGAGTGACCATTGGCCTCAGCCGTGAGCAGCACTCACTTACAGAAAAGTAGCACGTCTGCTGTTGTGAATGTATATTTGCATTTTCAAAGTCTACACCCAGAATATAAAACATTCCTACCTTTTCTTTTACTCTAACAAATGTGGTTGTCAACATGAGAGCCCGACCAATACAAGATTATCCGCCCTGCTTAGAGATTGAATTACATATACACATGATCCCTGCATTACTCTGGAGAGTGATGATGCTTGTTGTAATCAACATAGCGCCCTCTGCTGGTGAAAGAGAACTGCTAGTGTAATACAATGAAACACAAACTAAACGCTTGTTGACTGGTTAATAAATCAAGTTATATTGGCACATAATGGATATAAAATTAACCGATGCCAATAGTCATTTCATTTGCTATTATCGGCTGGTTGAATAACGGGTCGGGCTCTAGACATCATGTGTTTTGAGTTTGTTGCACTGTCTCCACTAGTAAACACTGGTTTAAGAAAGATAAAGCCTAAAACCATCACTTCTACATTAGGCGGGGTTGACAGAGTCGATATTTAAGATATCCAGTAACACAATAATGTCAAATATCCCCGTACAGCTCAAGTGAGGAGAATCTCCTCATAGTTTTAAAATGCCTCCAAATTCATTCTTAAACTGAGATACCATTTTGCAGGGTTGAAATGCTGATGTCAAGTGTTGTTAAAACTCAAACTATAAACATAAAAACCACAAAGACAAATGGAAAACGTAGAAGCTAGAGGAACAGGAACTAACCTGGAAGTGATGTGGAGACTTCAGCTCTACGTTTGGGAACATGTGGGCCTAAAGCTCATCATGTTTATCTAGTAATTTAGGATTATATTTTATCCTAATTCTTCAAATCACATCGCATCATCAAAATTGGACTCCACAAATAACAATTTTGAATACTAAGTGTTGGTTATTCAGAACAGCTGCCGTTTGCTCGGAGGGTAAACAGTATTAACTTATGCTAAGACACGATAAGAATCTCTGTTGCAGTCCCAAAACAAGCACACACAAGGTCAGCAGCCCCGACAGATACCAGCCTCCCACTGACCTCTGGCAGGCAAATCTTTGCTGCTGGCGTGTGATAGGGAGGCCCAATATGTGAGCAGATGTGGCTGATTGCAACCCAATCAATACCTTCTGAAGGGACCGCTGGTTCTGCAGGCACTGTCATTGTGGGAACAATGCAGTTTTGTTTCTTTGTGAGACAGGACTGCCACCATTCAGCTGAGGTGATTAGGATGCTGCGGACCAAACATCACTGAGAAATATGTTTGACAGAGGAGTGAGGGATGTGAGAAATTACACATTAAGAAAAACACTGGTTTAAGAGAAATATCAGAGAATAACAGAGAATCATGGGTGGGAAAGAATCTATTTCCTGTCATACTTCACTGCAAACATATATCCTGCTTCTGTGGAGATACAGTAGAAAGTAATCTTAGGTGCGCAATTTAGACTGACGAAACCTTATAATGTTCATTTATCAATCATCGCCCCGTTAGAAAAACGAGCTGTCTTTGGTAAGCTACTTCCTGCAGCAGATGCTCCTTATCTAAAAGCCATGCTGTGTGTGTGTGTATAGCAAGGAGGCATGAAGTGTTTGTAACACAGGAAAGAAATGCAAATCTTCAATAATTTACTTCCCAAACTGGGCTGTGTTTGCATGGCACTGTAATGTATGTATGCATGTATTTATTTATACTGAATGAGGTCCGGCATTTTTTTTTTTTGATTAGATTTGATTTATTCTTTTTGCTACGCTGTTGTGATCTTTTTTTTCTGTTGTTCAAATGCATACTCTGTAACACCACGTGCTGCAAAAAGAGCAAAGTGAGTCATATCTGTTCCAAAACAAAAGCCAGAGGATATCCCATGTGTGTGTAAATACCTGTAAATAACTCTTTTCTATATTTTCTAAGAAAAACAATATACTACAGAAAGATTTTTATTGACAGAATTTTCGTAAAAATGAATAAAAGGGAAAAAAGTTGAACACAGTAGGCCAGTAATAAACAGTGGAATGTTTCCAGTATACTACATCTTATTCCTTGCACATTGCAGTGCCGATGTTTGTCGATGATTCACCTTTTTATATGGGAAGCTGTGGCCACCATTGGGTTGTTTTCTTTGTGTGTCTGTCTCCTTTATATTCTGTATTTGGCCCCCTCACATTCACAGGAAGCTCTCATCAGCTCCTTCCTGGACGACGGTCAGTCAGGCTCCGATCGCTTCCATCCAAACAGTTGGTCAGACATTTTCCAGAATATAGATGACACCTTGAATTATATCTAAATATAACTGTTTCCTATACGACAGGTCAAACTTAGCAGCGAAGACTTCAATATTTAGCATTTTCTTTTGTAAACTCTGGAACATCATTCCCTTCAAATCAGAAGTGGGCACAGTTCATCCAAAATGTATCTTTGTTGAGTGTTAATCAAAATTCATTATCAGTTAATCCCGTAAATAATGAATCAAGGTTACATTAACATTAATGTAAACCGGTTTTAATAAACACAAAATCATCAGCTTCTTGGAAATGTCCCCTTAAGACATACTGTGTTGCTAAGT